TGGGCTGTTGCAGTCGGGGGCAGAAGTACACAAACCAGAGACCTGGCTGAGCTTCTTGGTCACAGCAGCCAGGCATGCACCTGCATTAAGGAATCCATGCTCCAAACCAATCTATTTGCTTTTTCCATATGCCTTACAAAGGGGGGGGAAAAACTGGAAAAACAAAACAAAAAAAGCACAAACTATTATTTTCTCGTGGCTTTTTGGTGAAGGAGGGGAGGTCGGGAGGGGGAGGGGGTAATTTGCAGCCAACCTCACAAATCCTTTTGAAGTTCTTCAAATAAGGAGAAATAACGCTGCTAAGTCTTTATTTTTTCTAAAGCCCCATTTACATTATGATTAAATACCTTCCTCGGATAAGCATAAAGAAAGTCGTTAATCTATATAGCTCTCCAAAGAATCAATACATTCGAAACTTTTGTAGGATTTGTTACACCCTATTTTGTTACAGTAGACCAGCTCCTCTCTGTCTAGGCACATGGCTCTCCTTCCCTCCCCCCTGCTTCCCCACCTCCTCCAAGAAAGGAAATAAAGTAAAGGTCTTTCACGGTAAACAAAACCAGCTGATTCTTCACAGAGAACCCATGAATAGCTGGAGAAGAAAAAAAAAAACTTACAATAAATGGTGCATTTTTTCTCTGCTGGGTATAGTATTCAAGGATCAGGGCAGTATTCAAACAGAGGTCCATTTTTTGCTCAGCAAGAGAGTTTAGAAAAGGAGCGTGGGGTCCATTCAGCGCTTTCCCCCCTTCACAATCGCCGGGTTCTATGAAACCTATCTTCCATGCCTTGTCGGAGTGTTTCTGGGGACCAATTAGTGCTTTGTTGCACGGCTTCTTTGCTGAATCTTTGAGCAGCAAGAAAAAGCGCTCTCGACTCTCCCCTTATTTTGACCATTTCAGTCATTACTCAGTGTAATAATTAATATGACAACTGGACGCTCCAGTTTGTATAGAAACACCTCAGCTACAGGAGTGAGCGTGCAGTGGGTGGTAACGAGCCCTCACATCAGCCGGGGAAGCCACACACACAAAAAAGGAATGAATGGCCAGAGAGAAAGAGAAGGAATAAAGATAAAATAGTTGGCAGAACGCAGAGGAACATAAAACAGATGAGAACGGAGAGACGGAGGGGGAAGGGGGGACAATTAGAAAGGGAGGGGGGAAAAAACACCCGATGGAGGTTAACTTATTTTGAAACTGTTTTCTGAATAGGACCCTGGACGTGAGTGGGCCGGCTGTCAGCCCAGCGCATTCCCCACCCCCCACCCCCGCCCACCCGCGACTTTCTGAACTCTCTTGGAACTCGGTGGGGAGGAGGGTTGGAAGGAGGACTCCTAAAGCCTTTGAGCTCTCCCCGAGGTCCTTCTAAAGAGTGCACCCAACACACCACCCAGCTCCTAATTTGCCTTCCAGTTTTGCAAAAATCCTGTTCCCCGTCGCTCCAGCTTCGGGTGGCAATAGAGAAGATCGGGCGCGAGTGTAGACGAGAGTTGAGTGCTGCATCAGCTCCCCGCGGGTGAGTTTTGGGGACAGGGCACTTCTGATACACCCCAACAACTCTGCAAAGCTGTCTCGTGGAGCAGCGCCCCGCGGGGCCCTGGCGGGGAGGGTCTTTCCCGGTAGCGCACAGCCAGACTGCGCGCTGCGCCCCGGGTCCCCGCAAGTGCGCCCCGGGGTGGCGATGCGCCCCGGGCTGGTGACCCGCTCCGTGACGGCATGATAAATAATTAGAGGGTTTAAGCGCGTTAGCCACAGCTCATGCTAATGAGCCAGATAAAGGCTCAGTCTAACTCGAAGTGACAGTTTGCATATAGCAGGGAAGAAAAAAAAATCCGTTTATTTTTTCCGTATCTTGATTGCTTCTTCTCAAATGCAGGCGTCCCCAACCCCCTATTCATTCCCCTGATTCCCTCTCCTCACAGCCCCCCACCTCCTGCCACACACACAACACGCACACTCCACCCCCTTTTGACCCTTCCTCTGTCACCCAGGCCCTGCCCGGGCGCCTGGTGACATCGCAAAATACCCGGGTTGTCCCTATCTGACCAGCCGGGAAAGTTCAGTCCCAGCGCGCCCTGGCCAGTCTCAGCCCCCAAGCGGAGATGGTTCGTGTGCCTTTCTTTACAAAATATGGAACGCACCAAGGCTCGCATGCTGAGGGAAGGACTTTGGGGCCGAGGGTCAGAGGCCTCTGAGAGCTCCGGGGGCCCAGCAGGCCCTTGGGCGCCCTCTGCGCTCACCGGGGCGGGCGAGGGGCGCTGCCTGCTGGGGAGAGGAACGCAGGCGCCGCCCGGGGCCCTAGAGCTGGAGCTCCTGAAACCCTCCTGCCGCCTCCTGAAAACAGGGGCAGTTTGCCGAAGTGACTGAGGTCAGTCGTGTGTCCCCATTGTGTGGCCACGTGTCCTGTGTCCATCATCACCTCCCCAAAGTCCGAGCTCAGCCCGACTCCTTGCGGCGCGGCCGGGGAATGCTCTGGCCTATAAATCAGCCAGCGGCTGCGAGCTGTCTGCACCTCGGTGCAGACCTGGACGCTGGCCCCAGCCGGCCAAGGGGAAAGTTTGCTCGCACCAGGTTAGCAAGAAAGAGGCCGCTGCCAGGGCCCAGGGTCTACTTGGGCAACTGTGGGCCCCCAAAGTGGGACAGTTGAACTCTTTCCTCCCCGCTCCCCCTTCCCTAGACCTAGCATTTGCAGAGTCTTTTGGGGTAGGAGGTGGAGGGAGAGGAAGAGGATAATTTCTGATACATGGTTATTCGTTGTCGTGGAACCTTAAATAAACAGCAACAAAAACAAAATTAAATGAGTTAATATTTGTAAAATGCTGAGAACCGTGCTGGGCACCGAGTGAACACTGTATATGCATTTCTCAAGTAAATATAAGCATACTGAAATACATCACAGGAGGTATGTGCTATTCATCTCAGATGTTAGAAAATATTGCTTTGATCCCAAAATGATCAAGGTTGACATGCTCACTGATTCGTCAAATAACTATTGAATATAATCAGAGATAAATAAGACAATCTGCCTTCAGTCAGCTTCTAGTTTAGTAGACAGAAAAGGAGGAGTATAAGACAAGAAGGTCCATTAAAACACAGTTTAAAAACAGTGGAGAGCCCTCTGCCCTCTCCCCTCATGCTCTGTTAGTGTGTACTCTCACCCTCCCTCATCCTCCAGGTTACCCCCAAGTAAATACACGATCTAAGTAAAAAGTGGACTTGTTGATTCAAACACATCCAACCCCTCTTCCCCAACCAGATGGTCACCCCCAGCTTCTCCTGTATGACAGTAATTCATGAGCAGACACTAATGAAGTAAACACACACACGCACACACCCGTTAACACCTGTAGTATCAAGTGCAGTGAAAAGGCAAGCCACTTGAAGTCAGACAGACTCCAGGTTCTGGAACTTTCTATCTCTGTGCCCTTGGGCAAATTGCTTACTCTCTCCTAGACAATTCTCCATCTAAAAAATAAGGGGACTGAGTAAAATGCTTCCCCTTCAGCTCTGACTACACAGACAATACAGGCACGACCACATGACCCTCTATTGGCAACAGCTTCGCTCTTTGAGCAGACAAACATCTTTTGCTGATCTTTACTGCAAGGACCTTCAGAAGGCACATGACCTCATACCACTTCATGATGGAGACCAGTCCTTGCTAGTGCCAGGATTATGGCTCCTAGGGGCCAGAGGCTGCATTATGGGGTCAGCATAACTTCAGCCCTGGGGGCCAGAGTAAGAGATGGGCCATTGGCTCATCAGGATTCACATGCAAAGAGAAGAAACTCACCACTCTGGCTAAAGGCGGCTTTGCTTGGGTCACAGGATTCCCTTTGACTGCCCGAGCAGTTTTTGGTTTGGGATTTGGCGGCCATGGAAGCTCCAAGTCCTCCTAGGTGGGTTGTGTGAGTCTCTCGCCACCTGCCGGTTATTTATTGAACTGCAGTGAAGACTGCGTGAAAATCTTGTAATTCCATTCATTTCATTGCAAGTTGATTTTACTCTTTACTAGTTCTATCCCATACAATTCAGTTCAAGCACAGAGCACCGTGCTGTGTGTATCACGTCCACACAACACCTACATTAGAAATACATGACGTGCTGTTAATGTTCAGATTATGAAGCTTCATCCCAGACCCACCAAGTCATAATCTGGCCAGTTGGCCTTTTTAACAAGCTATGGAGTAGTCCTTTTGTACACTGAAGATGGAGAACTAGTACTCTAGAGGCATTTCAGGTGATAAGACACAGTCTCCATTATTCAGAGCTATGAAGAATTAATCTCTTCTGATAAAGACGTTACACTAGTCCCATGAATATACTTTCTTCGGGTTAAGTGGCGTCCTGCTGACTTCTGAAGGGGGTGGAGAGGATTGGTAAGTTATTAAAGGATGGTCTTTGATGCTGGCCCTGAATAATTGGCAAAAATTTGCAGTGGGAAGAAAAGGGCCGTTGGAACAACATACCGAGCACAGAGCCTCTCGTTTCCTCGACTTTTGAGACTCCAACAAACTTAACCTCCACTCCTCTCTGGCTATGCTCTTTCGAGGCTATATCTTGGGTGTTGTCTGCACTCAGAGAAGCTCCACCTTGGAAATCTTAACTTTCCATCGATTCCTTCTCATCCTCATGCTTTATTATCCAGTATATTCCTAACAAGGAAAGAAATTCGATTTTTTTTTAAATTGGGGGGTTAGGGGGAGTTGCCCAAGCATATGATATCTCTCCCAACTTTATGGAGGTATAACTAATTGACAAATTAAAATTGTGTATATTTAAGGTGTACAACTTGATGTTTTGCTGTTCATATCGCCACAATCAAGTTAATTAACATACTTATCACCTCACATAATTACCATTTTCTTTTTCTTCTTTCCTCTGTGTGTGTGTGCGTGTGCAGGCACATGTGGTGAGCGCACATAAGATCCACCTGCTTAGTAAATTCCACGTATACGATACAGTATTGTTAACTATAGTCACTTTGTTGTGCATTAGATCTCCGGAAAGGAAACTGTTTTGACCAGGGGCTGAAGAAAACTGGACACTTAGACCACACTCTCAAGGCTTCTGGCCTCGAACCTTAAGACTCAGTGACCCAGGGCAGTGAACAGTAGGAGTGTTCCTGAAACACTTCTTACAGGTAGACAAGCAGCGAGAGCTATCCATGAAAATGACTGCAGATGACGTAAATGCATCCACTAAATGCAAACTATTCGGTAAGTGTAACTTCATCTTAACTTCTCCTTAGCTTGATCTCAATGATGTCTGGGCCACTGGGCATGAAAAGTGTGATGAAGAGGACATCAGAGTGGAAAGAGACAGCAGTCTTACCTGATTGTGGTTTAACACTCTTTGGAAAATTTTACAGAAATATATGTCTATATATGAACCATTGCTAGAGTCCCTCCAGGAGCCGTGAAGGAGTCTATGTACGTGCAGGACCCTAATGCTTTAGCTTCATAAGCTCCATAATAAATCTGCCTCCAGTGCCTGTGAGTTAATGGTAGACATATATTGAATGAATGAATGAATGAATGAATGAATGGCTGAAGTTAAGGAACAAGAGCATGGAATTTGGACTCAAGATAGCCTGTGTGACTTTGGACAAATCACTTAATTTTTTCCTCATTTTCAAAATGGAAAGAATAATTTGTATCTTACAGATAATGTATGTGAAAATACTCTCTAAATCAAAAAATAAAATACAAAATAGAAAAATTGTTTTTAGAAACACCACACATAAAGGAAGGTCTAGGTTCTCCACCTTTAACTTAATATCCCAATGAGTTTCAGTTCCACAGGCATCTTCTCAATGGTTAGCCTGGAGAGCCCAACTCAATGGATCTCTTTGGTCTGTCAAGAGCAAACATGGAGCCATCTCTGCGAATGGCACTCTCCCCATCGACTCAGCAGCCTAGGAATCATCTTTGACTTGTTTTTCACCCTCACCCACCATATCTAAATGGATACCTTCTAAGTCTTTCTCAAATGCATCCTACTTTCTTCGTCTCTACCATCAGTACCATTCTAGTCCAAGGAATCATGGCCATTTCTCACCAGGACAAATGTAATCACGTCTTAACTGCTCTTGCCCTGCTCCCAACCCCACCTCCACTCTCCACACTTCAGCCAGAGTGATCTCGTGATAATGCAAATCTCAGAGGTGCTCACTACATACTTCAATGGCTTTGCAACTCTTTCGGTCTAAAGATTTTTAAAAAAAAAAATCTTAAAATGGTCTACAAGGCTCTGCATGGTCTGGCTTTCTCTAGCTCTCCAGTTGCATCTTCAACCACGTTCTCCACTGTTTCCACCACATACTTTTGCATATGCTGCTCCTTCTGCCTGGAAATTTCCAGACAGTTCCAGGTTCCTCCCTTCCTCTTTCATCTGGGTATGTTCTACTTCATATTCTGAGATCAAGAAAACCTCCTGGGGAAAGGCTCTTTCAGTATCATGTACATCTCCTTCATGTCCTCTGTTACAGCTGTAAATTTGAATTTATTCCTGTAATTTTATTAAGGTCCACATCCTAAAAAGAACAGAAACTCAGGGAGGCAGTTACATCCTTGAATATAAAACAGTGCCAGTATTGCAGCAAGAGCTTAACATATATTTTTAGGTTGTATGGATGAATCTCACTCACTTCTAGTCCCCCAAGTGTCTCCTCAACCTTAGAGTTCAGCCAGCTTCCCCCTGGTGAGACAGATGCAGAAGAATTAGAAAAAGAATCTATGTCTAAGATCATGCATGTGTTTTACCAAGAAACTGAGCATCCCATTGGTCTGGTAGGCTGTGGGCCTCAGTAGATGTGTTTCCCAAATTTATCACTCAATGAATAATGACAGCAGCCACCAAGACCCTAGCTTTCAAATGGTCAAACCTACCAAGGCTCTACAGGGAAGAGGGGTCTCTGAGTGGACAGGGGTGTTTATACCACCCTCACCTTCCACAGAGAGCTCTTCTGTCACTCAAGAGTAAACAGGAAAGGATGACGAGTATTTTTCTCAAGACTAACATCACCACCCCAGGTCTTTTGCCTCCTCTCCTACAAGACCACAATATCTCAGATTCCTCATCCATACAACGGGAATATTCAAAATCTCTCTCACTGGCTTATACAATAGAATGAATTAAGTAAGACAACCTTTGCAATATGCCTGATACTGAATAAATATTTAAATGCAGAATAAATATTTGTCCCTTTCTCTTTCCAGAGAGGATGAGATGGAAAGAATAAAGCTGAAGGATAGCTCATTTACGTCTAATTAGAAATCCAACATGGCTTTGGGAGCTAGGCAAGCTACCTTCTTGGCTAGGCAAGCTACCTTCTTTCTTTGCAAATTTCCTTCCTCATAGACATTTAAATGGAAGAGATAACAACAAAGACAACAAAAAAAACCTCTCTCCCAATCCCACAGTCTAAAGAAAACGCCTCTTTCTCATTCTTTTTTGTTGTTTTTGTATTCTTCCTGGCATATTTACACAATGGGGAATACAAAACTTTATATTTTACTTTTATTTGTCATGGGTTGAATTGTGTGCATTTTAAGTATGATAAATGTTTATGATTTTAAAAATAATTTGTATGGCTACTATGTGAATGAAATGTAATTTGATTATTTCCCCTGTTGATGAAGTTTTCACTACCCCCCCCCCGCAAAGTTTTCTGACCTGAACATTTTTGTACATATTTTTCTATATTTCTGATTAAACTAATATGAATTGAGTACTCAGTATTATGCACCAGACACCGTGCTTAGTCCTGGAATTTAGAAAGACTAAGATTTGGTCTCTAGTCTGAGAGTTCTTAATCTAGAAGGAGGAGACAGAATAGTGAAAACAAGACAACGAGAGAATTTATGTGTTTAGTTACAGAAGAAAAGTCAAGATGCTAGCTGAGTCAAGGAGGGGTGATGGCTCCCACCTGGAGGAAGTGCTTTTTGGAAGAGGCAGTACTTGTGTTGACCAGCTGAGTGAGCACCAGCCCTTGCCAAGCCCCACTATTGCGGCAGCTTCCCCTGGCTTTGACCTTGGATTTTTCTTAAACCGAATCTTACGCTTATCTGCTTGGATTTGATGCCATAGCTCTACTGACCAGTAGCTGAGCGCACTCTGCCCCAACGTGTCTTCAATCCCTGACTGACATTGTTGTCCTGCCTCTGAGGCATCTGACTTCGATCCAGTCCTACTTGTGGCTTTGCTGCTGTCACTATTGTTGGTGGGATGGTGGTAAATGTTTAACAACCCACTGACTTCACCCCTGACTTGTAGTGTTTGCTGATTTCCATGGAGTAAACATTCCCACTCTGGCAGATTTCAAGCTATCAATGTATGTATGATGTTGAGAAGAGAGGTGTGGTAGCATATTATTATGTAGTATTTCTACCACCCAGATAAAATGGGCGTAAATAACCTTAAGAGCATGGAGGATAAAACTGAGTAAAGTAATTATGAAATAATTAAATCTTGAGGATTTATAACCTTTGTCTTAAATGTAATTTATTTAATTTTAAGTTGATATAATTTAGTTTATAATCAGGGATGTGTTTAGCAACAGGCTCACAGAACTGAAGAATCAGCTCCCTCACAACTATATGAGCTGGCTTTAGGACACCGCTGGTTATAAATACATGAACTGGTCCTGCCCACCTCTCCAGACTCAGCTCTTCCCTCTCTCCCCTTCCCTCTCTACTTCAGCCACAACTGCCCTCTGTCTGTTCCTCAAAATATTCCCCTGTTCATTGTATTAGAGATTTTGTGCAGATGTTTCCTCCAGTGGGACCCTTCTCCCCTCATATCTTTGCATCTGGAGTGGCGCCGTCTCATAATTCAGTTCTCATTTCAAATACTACCTTGTTGAATAGGTCTTCCTTGTGCATCCGACTTAAGTCAGCCTCTTCAAAACAGTTTATCTCTTTTATAATACCTCTTTTTAAGACTTGATCTCTTCTTGGCCATATCAGTAGTGAGGGTATCTTGGTTTTTTTGTTGTTGTTGTTCTTTTCCTGTTTACTGGTCATGTCCCCTAATAGAATGTGAAATCAATGAGAGCATGGAATGTCCTGCTCATCACTGTCTAGAACAGTGACCAACATATAGAATATACTCAACAAATATTTATTTAATGAATGAGTGTATGAATGACAGCACAGTGACTTCAATCTGATCGCCAAGAAGGATGCTAAAGTAATGGCTCCAGAGTCTTAAGATTTTATATATGTACATTTAATAAATTTGATCAAGTGCATTTGGTTTACCAACTGATTTTATTATACCCCAAGGAAATGTCTAAGTTCTGCTGAGAATTCCTAGAATAGCCTGCCTTCATTTTTATTTTGATGAAAACTTCTTCATACATTAATTGTTAGTTTGTGTGGGCATTGACTGATAGCAATCTTCAGATTTCTGGGTTGTCTGTGTGGGAAAAGTTAGACTAAAAAGAAGCAGACCATAGAAGTGAGGTTCTGAGGAAGCTCACAGCCAGCTGCCTGTGCAGGGTGCGGGGTGGAAGGGTGGGATTCCTACATTTTTCCAGTGAGACATTGCATTGTTCTTTAAAATCTGATAAGGAAGGAGTAGTGCTTGGACAGATAAATCCATCTTAAAGAACATCCCCACGTCTCTTCTATTGCTGGAAGTAGATTCGGTTGTGAGTGGCAGAAATTTCAAAATTATACATGGGTATAAACAAAACAGAAATAAAAGTTAATTTTTCTCTTATGTCAATGTCTAAGTCAGCAGTCCAAGGCTGCTGGAGTGATGGTCCATGGTGTCAAGAACCAGGTTCCTTCTATCTTGATCCTTCTCTATTTTTGCTCTGAAACGCATGGCTCCTATTCCTACTTTTACCTCATAATCCAATATGGCTCCTCGAACTACAGTCAGCATTTCTACATTCTGACCCACAAAAAGGAGAAAATAGAAGGAGAAGGGCAGCTTCCTTTAGGAACAATTCTTAGATGTTACACAGACCACTTCTCTTTGCATTTCCTTGGTCAAATGTTAGGCCTGTAATCACATCTAGCTGCAAGGAAGCCTGGGAAATGCTTTTGTTCTGGGAGGCCTTGGGGCTGGCTAGCTAACATTCAGAGCTTCTATTTCCTGAGAGAGAAGGAAAGAAAATGGGGCAGCTCGCCACATATGCCACGTCTTTGTTTCTTCTGCATCAAGTGGGTTGAGGAGTTCCCAAATATCAGTGTAACTACCAGACCAT